ACGCTAGCAGTATCACGGTACTGAGCGATGACACAAGACACAAAAGATTTATTCATATTTCAATGCTGGAGTGCTCTAACGATAGCCACTTGTGCTTTTCCAGCCAAATATATAGAAATCACACCATCACGCTGGAATTCTATCACGAATAACTTTTTTCTGGGAAATTCTTAACAAAATGCTTTTGTACGCTTGTAAATAATATAATGACCTGTTACTGGAATAATTTTAACAGCTTAGAAATTACAGCAGTCTGAAGTTGGTTGTGTTTTTTTTTTATCTCACCTTGTATATCCTGCACCACATAGTGGTAAGGGTATTATGTCTTTGTGCATTTGTTTGAAATATGAAGAAGGATGCGAGATAGACCCGTAGCTACTTTTGAGGATCTTCATAGTATCACTTTCTGAGTCGATTTTTGCATATCAATCCGTCTCTCCGTCTATCATTGTGTTTTTGTGAATAAAATGCAGGTCATCTTTATTATCCAATTGGCATGAAATTTTCCAAAAAATATTTGCTTGGCCCAAGGACGAACCCTATTGAAATTGGTGAAAATCGGTTCAAATCTAGATGTAGCTCCTACATATATGTTCAACCGATGTCGGGTCAAATGGCCACTTTTTCCCATAGCGCACATATAAGGGTACCTCCCGATATTCGGTATTTTGACGATTTCAGCCACATTTTCTAATACATATTTGACGGACCCATGTTTTTTTTTTTAAAAATCAAAGAAAAAAATAAAAATTTGGCGGTTGCCAATGTTAATCATTTAATTTGTTCCAAGTAGATTTGTTTACATCAATTTTTGAATATGATATCTCTCAAATGGCCGCCTCTGGCGTTGATGACGTATTTTTCCCTTTTTGCTGCATTTTCCATCGTTTTTGCCAACATTTCGGCCGGAATTGCGGCTATTTCTTCACGAATGTTGTCTTTGAGCTGTTCTACGGTCCTTGGCTTGTTAACGTAAACCTTTGACTTCAAATATCCCCACAAGAAGAAGTCAGGCGGTGTCAAATCGGGCGAACGCGGTGGCCAGTCCAAATCACCACTTTTCGATGTGAAATGGGCTTCATCGGACATGGTAATTTTGTTCCAAAATTGCTCGTCATCTTCGGCCATTTCGATGATTCTTTGGGCCCATTCCAATCGACGAGGCTTGCCTGCGGAACATTCTTTGCGTCAATTGAATTTTGTACGGGAACAAGTGCAAATCAATGCGAATAATCCGTTGCATAGGTTCATGGTAAAAATCTGCTTGGACTGACGCTTCAAACGCGGTATGTCATTAAGCGATGTGATATCTCTGTCAAAAGTTATGGCGTTGCCAGATGGGTCCGTCGAATATGGGCAACCCTGTAGATTTTTGTGAAAGTTGGTATTTGTACTTCAAAATAGGTTGTACAACCGGTGTCAAAATATTGTCCATATTGGTCAACGGTTTAAATGCGAAGGTTTGGCATTTAATATAGACCGATATTTGGTATTTTCATAATCTTAGTCACATTTACCCATGGTGGAGGTTATTGGAAGTTCGTCCCGGCCGAACTTAATATTCTTTTGTTTGTTAGGTTTACTTGCATAATCTGCTGGTTTTCCCTGTAGTTGTTAGAATTATGGACATATTTTTGAAAGTGCAACTTTCGGTATCCAGCCGAAATTTGCAATTTTTAATGTTGATTTTAAACAAAATATACTCAGTTCTTTTGATCCCAGGCATTTCTTACAAATTTTGAGTTTTTACCACCTCCAGGTATTTATGGAATATAAATGGTTAGTTTATAAATCTTGTATTCCAATATATCTAATAAATTTCCACTACGTTGTTTTACAAATTCCAAAAATTTCAATCCTTTTACTATTAAAATTTCACAACAAAATTCCAAAAAAAAAAGAATTTCCATTAACATAATTTATATTCATTTTCTTTCTTTTTTTTCCTTTCGTTACAGATTTGAACTGAAAATTGATGCACAACGAAAAAATACTAATTATTTACCATACCAAAAAAAAGTCGGAACAAATTTGTGAAAGGTGACAACGACATTTCTCGAACACCTTCAGTCAAGCAAGGAAAGCCAGAACGCAAAAAGAGTGGGGAAAGAGTGAGAAAAAACGGGCTATAAATTTATCAGCACCAAACATCAAAAGAATGCCAAAAATAGAGTTACATTTGAGATGAAGAGTGCCATTTAAGAAAGATTGATAGATTCTCAAAAACGGAGACGAAGAAAAAGTTCTTAATTAACAACAATATTTTGGAAAAAGGGAGGCCAACAACAACAAAAGCAACAACCACCAAAACAAAACATTAAAAAGAAATCTGGTGACAATTTCTGGTGATCATTAGAGGGAAGACAGAGATTGGGAGTTTCCCCCTAAAACGAGAATAGGGAACGGCAGCAGCAACGTCATCATCATTACTTTTAACAATATTACAACAACAAACACCAACAACAACTGAGCTATATTAACATCAAAACATCATTTGTGGTGGTTTTTGTTGTCATATCAATATTCCATCTATCATTCGAAGACATAGCCCAACCAGCCAGCTAGAGAATCATTCAGTTTCCAATCTACTTCATTGATATGTTTGCCTACCTTTGCTGTTAAGACAGAAGCACGGGAAGAGGAGTTTATCTATAATCAAGGGGCGGATGTAAATGGAAGCATAGCAAGACGAAGAAAAAGGCGGCAAATGACATAGAAACATTTATGCTTTTTAATGATACTCGAGGAGCGGGTGCCGAACCAACAAAAACATCAATCGCTGCTGCTAGAATATTTAAATATAGATGAGAGGGAACGAACACATGTTGCCAAAGATCACAGCATAGAGGCAGCAGCAGCATCAGCATCCTAAATAACAACAACAACAAACGACATCTCCAACTGAAGCAACAGATCGCATCATAAATTTTGAGCAACTGCCAGAAGACGAAAGCAACAGAAAACGATTCTTTGGAGTGTGTCTTGATTTCTTTCGTTTCTTGCCTTTTGCTAAAGTGGATTTCCGGTGCATTACCCATTGGAAAAGAATAACACCACTACCATCAGCAACACCACCACCAAAGGAGCTAGCCAGGCGGTGAATGATCTCGCGAACAAGGGATCATTAAATGACAAGAAAACATACTTGCAACATATGTGGCATATGACGGAGCCCTCGTACACCCACACCAGCAACAACACCACAAGAAACAAAACGACAAACAACAACAACAAACCACACAGTTGTCATTTGGAACAAAGGAGAAGGAGGCAGGGAGAGTCCAGCAGAAGTAACAACACAAAAAAACCCACTTCAAATTAGAGTGAAATTTTGAAGAACAATAAGAACGCAGATCAAGCTGGAAAAGAAGAGGAGGAATAAGACTTCAAGTGGAATTTTTCATAAGGCAACAACAAAAGCAAAATATATTGAGGACTAGCATAAAGGACCTAGGAGTTGCAGGCAACCAAGAAAAAGGTTATTTTCCTATCGTAAAGAGCTAAGAGAGAGAAAGAGAACCTTGCGAACCTATTTTTGCAAGGAAATAGAAAATATAAAAAAGGTAAAATTTTCCCCTCGTACATGTCTCAGAGTAAGACGTAGTCTCTGCAAATCTCATTTTGCTCTGCGAACCTATTTTGCCAAGGAAATAAAAATAAATAAAAAGGCAAAATTTTCCTCTCAAATAAGTCTCAGAACAAGAAGTATTCTCTGCAAATCTCAATTGTCTGTGAGAGAGAGAGAGCAAACATAAAGAAAGTAAATTTGTTCCCCCAAAAGCCCCAAAGCGAGAGGAATTCTCTGAGAAATTAATTCTCTGAAAATAAAGCTAAAAAATAAGAGTTTGAGGGAAAGGACCACCAAAGATACCGAAAAAATAGAGGAAATATCGACATTAAGGACCAAAAGAGAGAGAAAGAGAAAGAGGAATTTTCTCAGCGAATCTACTTTGCCAGGGAAAGTGGAAACTTTAAAATGCAAAATTTCCTCTCATAAAAGTCTCAGAATAAGAGGTATTTTCTGCAAATCTCAATTTCCAGAGAGAGAAAGAGAGAATAAATATAGCATAAATATTGTCTCTCAAAAGCTCAAAAACGAGAGGAATTATCGGAGAAATTAATTCACCAAAAGAAATAATTAAAAAAAAATCAGAACTCAAGGAAAAGGACTAACCAAAGTACCGAAAAAATAGAGAAATATAAAAGACCACAGAGTGATTAATAAAGAAACAGAGAGAGAGATATGATATCCTCATAAAAAACGATCAAACCAGCAACAATATTTTGAGTATTTCGCTCACAACCAAATAAGGATCTGTGCCTCTCAAACCCAAAAAGTGAAAATTGGATCCACCCGTAAAAAGAGTAAAAAAGGATAGAGAGAAGGCGAGGGATAACTATTTATATAACTTATTCAGACTCATCTAAGGATATATAAACAATAATTATTAGATTGGGGCAAAAGCTGTCCTTAAATAATTGTATTTTCTCTCTGAATTTTCTGGAATTCTTTCCTCGATTTTTCCGCACTGGTGGACGGAAAACCTTATTGGACAAATAAAAGAGAGTAACAGAGTTCCAAAAAAAAAAAAACAGAAAGTGCAAAAATATTAGTATTCGAATACCTGTCCTCTCTTTGTGATAACCTCTTTTTGAGTTTCTCGCAGTGATTTACAAAAAATTCACACTTTTAAAAAGTGATAGAGAGAAATATAACTCATAATAATACACACCCACATTTATGGCGTCAATAAGGCCTAACAGTGCAAAATATTAATATACGAATACCTCTCATCTCCTTCTACTTAAGATCACTCAGATTCCCTCTCAAAAAAATCCCACATAAAGAGAAATCTCTTCCCAGGCCAGAAAAGAGAGGGCTAAGATTTCCAGACAAGTAAACAAACACACCCATTGTGTGCCCACCAAGGAAGCGAGCAGATCCTACCTGGCCACACTCTCTCACAGAGGCTCTTAAACTCACTCATTCTCACCCTCACAAACAATACAGAGTTGTCTTGAGAGGAAAGTTAAAAATAATTCCAAAAAAAAATCACCTCCTGTGCCATTCAACTCCCTCGCGACCGACACACAATCAAACACTCTCTCGTCGCCCATCATGGCGTTAACAACAAAGTGTCACAGTGTCAAACAAACAACGAAAACGATGAAATTTTTCACTTCACAACGATGCCTGGTCTTTGGCATAACACTGCTAGTGGGATTTCTGGCCCTGCACACACAATCGGTGGAGGCCATGGCCCGGCGAAACTATCAACCGGAACCCATTGACTACGATGACTATGGATATTCTTCGCCCAATATGGATATACAGAAACGCAGTGATTCGCTGCGTGATAACAAGGATAACAACGATGATGACGGTGGTGGTGGCGGCGGTGGTGCTGCTGCTGGAGACGGGGAACGTGATGCTGTCAATGAGAATGGCGATTTTATGCCACGCTTTAAGAATCCCAAAAATCTTCGCAACATTTTTCCTAAACCCTCGGGAAGTTTTATACAACTCAGCTGTCCTGCCATTGGCCGACCGGAGCCCAACATCACCTGGTTACTGAATGGTACCAAAATAGCCCGAAATATGGGTCGTGTAAAGAAAACTAAATGGGCCATAAATATGGAAGATCTTGTGCCATCCGACTCGGGATTCTACACCTGCAAGGTCTGCAATCCCCTGGGTTGCATAAATCACACCACCAAACTGCACATCAGTGATCGCGTCAATCACAAGCCCATCATTTTAACCGCTCCCAAAAATCTCACGCTCTTCATCAATGAAAGTGGTGAAATGACTTGCAAATATCTCTCAGATCTGTTCAGTGTCAAGAGTTGGACATTTACACCCTGCAATGCCACGGCCTGTTCCCAGAATACCACGGTGGTGGATGGTGATGATGTTTTGAAATTTGAAAATGTCACTCAGGACCAGGAGGGTTGGTATACCTGTATGGAAATGAATGGTTTGGGTAAATCCTGGAACAACGCCTATTTAAGGGTCTTGGATCCCACAGAAGCAATCGTCCCGAAAGTCATTCGATCCCAGACACTGTGGGAGGTGGTGGTGGCCACGGTTATTCTGCTGATGTTACTCCTCCTGGCCATATTCATTTACTATGTCTGGCGTAAAATGAAACACGAAAAGCTGTTGAAACAACGCATTGAAACGGTGCATCAATGGACCAAGAAAGTTATTGTGCTAAAGCCGGCATCAGGTGATTCCTCCGGTTCCATGGATGCCATGATAATGCCGGTGGTGAAAATTGAAAAACAACGCACCACAGTTCAGCAAAGTTCCAACTCCGAACCGGCTCCTTTTAATGAATATGAATTTCCCTTGGATTCCAATTGGGAAATACCCAGAAATACTCTCATATTGGGCGCCACCTTGGGTGAGGGTGCCTTTGGACGTGTCGTCATGGCTGAGGTGAATAATTCCATTGTGGCCGTGAAAATGGTTAAGGAAGGCCACACCGATGATGACATTGCCAGTTTGGTACGCGAAATGGAGGTCATGAAAATCATTGGCAAACACATCAACATCATCAACCTGTTGGGTTGTTGCTCCCAAAATGGACCTCTCTATGTTATTGTGGAGTTTGCCCCACATGGCAATCTAAAGGATTTCCTTAATAAAAATCGCCCCATCAAGGATTATGACAAGGAGAGTAATCTCTCACCTCCCGCACACCATTTGACGGAGAAACATTTAATTTCGTTTGCCTTTCAAATTGCCCGTGGCATGGAGTACCTGGCCTCACGACGTTGTATACACCGTGATTTGGCTGCCCGCAATGTGCTCGTATCCGATGATTATGTCATGAAAATTGCCGATTTCGGTTTGGCCCGTGACATCCAAGACACAGACTACTATCGTAAAAACACCAATGGCCGTTTGCCCATCAAATGGATGGCACCCGAATCGCTGCAGGAGAAATTCTATGACTCGCAAAGTGATGTTTGGTCCTACGGCATTTTGTTGTGGGAAATTATGACATTTGGCGCCCAACCTTATCCCACAATTATGTCAGCCGAAGAGCTGTACTCGTATTTAATGTCTGGCCAACGAATGGAGAAGCCAGCCAAATGTTCGCTCAACATTTACATGCTGATGCGCCAGTGTTGGCATTTCGATGGCAATGCCCGGCCAACATTTTCCGAAATTGTGGAAAATCTGGATAAGCTGCTGCTCAGCAATGAGGATTATTTGGATGTGGCAGTGGCGAATCTGGAGACACCGCCCTCATCGAGTGATGAAGAGGAATCGGATGCAGAGTCCATGCGTTATCATTATAAATGAGAAGCGGTGAGAAAAGGGGAGAAACGGGGTAGCTACTAGGCCTTACCATGCCAGGCAAAAAAGGGTGAGAATTTAGATTTTAAGAGAAAAAAGGAAGTAAATATTTGTTTTTTATACATATTATATACTTATGGTTGTTTTTTATATATATATATATTATATTTTATGTACAATGTAAATACTCATAATTGTTAAACATATATTTTTTAATAATTAATTTATTTTTTAAGAATTTTAATAATTTTAAATAAGTTATACCGAAAGCAATAAGCAATAGCGCTAAGGGAAGAGCCAAACAAAAAATAAAAAAATAATAATTTAAATAATTTTTCAAATCAATTTTTAACGTATCGAATTTGAATCAAATATCATGGCAAACAAATCCACCTTCAAAAATATAATTTAAAAATTTTTTTTTATAAATATCTAGAACTAGACTTCTTACAAAATTTCCCTTAATGTATCTTGCCTCTCAGCAAAACTACTATGTATATATGTAATATTTTTTTAACTGATTATATATCTACAATTGTAAATTCCATTTTATAGAAGCATAGGTCCAAAAATGAGGACAAACACATAATTAGTCTATCTAATTGGGCGCCATATTCTGAGAATGGCATACATATCCTAATATGTGCACATTATTTTGTTTGGGCGCCATTTCAAAACAAAAATAATAAGAATTGTAACGTTTCTTTGCGAAATCTTCAAACATCAACTTTTGAAAACGGAAACCGGTCTAGTCGGAAACCGGTTGAAAATGTCTTTCTTTGACATCATGCCTCTACATACCTACCTATTTTTTATTTTTTTTATTTTTTATTTTTTTTTTTTTTGATTCAGAAAAAAGCTTTCCTCTTGTCGACCTATGTAACTCGTCATTATTTTTCTTAAATTTATTTTATATTTTTTTTATGAACTGTATCTATACCAAAAAAAAAAAAAAAATAAGAAAATACCAAAATTTCAACAGCTAAACAATCCAAAGATTAGTGTTTTTAAGTATAATATCCAACAATAAAACTATTGAAAATCTGAAAAAGTCTGTACATGAATATTACCACTCAATATTTCCAAAGTTAAGAAAACCAAAAATATTATAAACAATTTTATATGCTAAGCCTATATTTATAATGTATTATAATAAATTAATTTTAATTTAATTTCCTTTTTATAGTATTAAAAATAGTTTTAAGCCTTTTTTTGTTGTAAGACCATAAAGTTATAAATAAACTACTTTTATATATATCGCATATAAATCTATGTAATGGAAATGACTTTGAAATATTGCAAAATTTCAGATTTGTGGATTTATTTCAGCTGCATATAATCATAATTTAGGGGTAATGGGTGTTGTGTTTTACTTGTGCTTATATCCATCCTGGACGATCTGACTAAACCTGTAAGGAGTAAAGAGTCCACATTTTTTGGCATTTAGAATATTGGGAGAGCGTTCAGCCATTGGGTGCAATAAGGTCCGAATAAAAGAAGACTTTGTGCCCATACACTTGTCCTTGAATTTCGGTCGGAATTTAAAATTTTTAATCCTTGGTCGGGTTCAGAACAGACGCTACCGTAGTCATCCTTGGATGAGAGTTTAAGGCGATTAGAATATCTTCTTTCATTTTGGGCCTTACTACTGTGATATGCTGAGATATTGAAAAATGTGTGCCTCAACGAAATTCCAGGCGACCAAAAACTAGTTTCCACCTCTTCGTATTTGCAACTGTGGCAGTTATCAATGCATGGTATAGTTAGTCGGTCCTAAGAAAAATTTTGTCAAAACGATTGCGTTTGTGAAGAAGGGGTATACCTTGATATGCGACATATTTTTGTCCTATGCATAAAGGGTTGCCCATATTCGACGGACCCATCTGGCAAAGGCATAACTTTTGACGGAGATGTCACATCGCTTAATGACATACCGCGTTTGAAGCGTCAGTCAAAGCAGATTTTTACCATAAACCAATACACGCCACGCGAGCGCTCTGAAATAGTTGAAATTTACATTCAACAGCAAAAGTCAATTGTGAAATCTCAACGTGCTTTTAAAACATTAAAAAATGTGAGAAGTGCGCCTTCTAAGAACACCATTAAGCGTTTATACGAAAAATTTTCGACTGGTAAGATTCTCTCTAATCCGAAGAGGCCATATAAAAGTCGACCAAGGCGATCGGCCGAGAATATCGCTGCCGTACGAGCCAGTGTTGAGAGGTCCCCAAGAACATCCCAAAAACGCCGTTCTCAGCAGTTGGGCATGGCTCGGTCCACTTTACAACGGATTATTCGCATTGATTTGCATTTGTTCCCGTACAAAATTCAATTGACGCAAAGAATGTTGCCTGTGGACAAGCCTCGTCTATTGGAATGGGTCATGGGTCCGTCGAATATGGGCAACCCTGTACTATGTCTTTGTGCATTTTGTACTCCCTCAGCCATATGACTCAGAGGGTATATAACGTTTGATACGGTCAAAAGGTGAAATACAAAATAACCCTGGGTCTATTTGGTCCAAATCCGTTTCAGGACACTTGGAGTCGATCTAAGGGTGACCGCTGGTGTGCTCGAAAACTCTCGAAGGGAGTATCTGATTTGTCCAAATTTGAATCATCGTAATGTTATTATCAAACTTAGATCAAATTCAGAGATGGGCAATATCGGTTCAGTCCTTCCTCTAACTTTTCCGCAAAAGTTCGATTTTTTTCACAGAAAACAATTTACCGAATGGAACAAGAAAGGATCACCCAATCTTGTGCAAACTTTGTAAATCATTATATTTTAATCTGTCTTAGCTCAGGTGCAAAAATGGACAATCTCGGCCTACTCCATCAAGTACCTCCTCCAAGAAGAGTCAAAATTTTGAATATTTATAATTCTTATAAAATCTGAAATAAGAGTCCGACTATCTTCATATTTAGCACTTCCCAATTTGTTTACTAAAGCAAGATCTGGGGTAAAGATGGAATATATCGGACCACTCCTTCTAGTAGCTACCCCACAACAGGTAAAAATTTTGAAGCTCATAAAACACGAAATGTGCATCCGATTCCTTTCAAGCTCGGCGCTTTCATCTTACTTAAAATGTATTGAGCATAAATATGTAAGACTGGACCAAACAAGCTTATTTTAGCTCAAGCGACCGACAATTGTAGCATGGGTTAACAAATGAGGACAATATACCAATGAGTTTATCTAATTGGGCGCCATATTCTCAAAATGGCATACATTTCTCATTGCTTGAACATTATTTTATTGGTCCCCACTTCCTTATGTTATTTATGGCTATGCGGATTTTCTAAACTAAATTTGTAAAAAAAAATTAATAGCCCAACAAGAGAGGAGAAGCAATCAATCAGTGCATCTAAAATAGTAAATCTCATTTGGTTGGGCGCCATATTGTTGCATTATATATGGCTATAATTTTGTAAAAAAAACGGGACGAAAAATTATGAGAAAAAATCTGTTCACCAAGTTGGGCGCCACATACCAAGAATTTCCCAATACCTGCACCCTTTTTGTATTATTTTATTGGGTGCCATATAAATACTTGATTTAAAGGTGTAACAAAAGTATGTAGATAGTTTAATATGTACACTCTTTTCAAACTTCATGTTGGGCGCAAATAGTTATAGGTTTCTTCTTATGAGGGTCATATCGTCTCCTGTGAGTGGAATTTCAAACACTCCCAGATTCCAGACCCAAGATATAACTACGAAAAATGTGGGAAAAATCAGTTCACCAAATTGGGCGCCACATTATGAGAATAGCATACATAGCCTTATATTTGCAAATCAAACATTATGTTATTGGGCGCCATATATATAGGAAGAATTTTGAAATTGAAATTGGACAAAAAGTGAGGGGAAATAATCAGTTCGCCAAATTGGGGCCATGTTCTAAGAATCTGCATAATTTTAGCATTATTTTATTGGGCGCGTTATAAAAAACTATAGATTTGGTCTGAGAAAAATTATACTCAGGAAGTTTCTTCTTATGAGGTTTAATACCTCATGTCATCTCCTGTGAGTGGAGTTTCAAACACTCCCAGATCCCAGACCCAAGTTAAAACAACCCATTTTTGTAAAAAATTGAAATTCAAGTTTTTCTTCCAAATTCTTCCAATAGCCTTATTTGTTAATCTCATATTTCTCTTGGAGTGGAAGTTGCTAAGAGGATATGACTATTTAAAAAATACTTCATCTAATTATAGACTTTTTGGTACAGGGAAGACATATCTGCAGAAAATCCCAATTTTTTAAGAGTACATATTTCAAAGTTTTTTCTCTTGCACACAAGAAATACTTGACTTTTAACTTGTCTTCGAATTTATGAACGCCAACGAATATACAAACATATCAATGATTAGACTTAAGTTAAACATTCTAATGTTTTTTTGTTATATGCTAAAATAATTTATATATATTTTTATTATAAGTTCTAATTTTTATATTTAAATGCTATCGTTAATTACAAGGCTATTTTTAATGAGGTCTTTCGCAAGAAATATGAATTAATAAGTATTATAACAATTAAAACTATATATTTTAGGAGTTCGATAAATATAAGTGCCTTATATTGTTAAGTGATAAAACAATGAGATTAAAAACAAAAACTATTTTTTAAAAAATATATTATTCGATATTTAAAAAATAATATTTTTAAAAGAAAAAATATAAATTATTAAATACAAACTAAAAAAAATAAAATAAAAATTCAAACCCAATGTGTATAATTTGAAAGGAATAAGAATGGTAAGCAAAATTTGTGTAGCGTTGGAAATGTTAGAATTCACGATAAACGATTTAAAGGCCAATTGATTAGTATCAGGTCCAGGATGTTTACAAAATATATCTTGCTTGCCGAAAGTTAAGCTTCAATTTTTTTTAGTGCTCAGAATGTACAATTTTTTCAGCATGAATATTTCCTTTTTCGAAAAGAATAATGGAACACTGCTTACCATTTACACCAAAAAGTCTTCAACATCTTTAATCTTGAAATTTATGGAAGAGAATATAAGTAAAACCATTGTACAGTGGACCCACAAATACAAGTTTTCAGTTCAAAACTATTTCAATGTCTCCAT